ACCCTGAACGCAAGGAACTCATATCATCATTCTATTCCGGGGAGAAAATAACCACAGCAATACAACGGGAGAATAGTTAACCTCGCACATCGTCATAGTGGTCCATTGCTCGCGCATAATTGTAAATGGTCAATTATAAGATCACCCTAGCAACTGTACCCTCACTATTTTCTACTGACGTCTGCTGCTTCTTCTAAAATCCATGGAGTACAAAAATCTCATACCCGTGGTTGGCCAGCCGCGAATGTATCACAGTAGCCTCATTGGCCATTGTGTGGCTTTTTTTATTGATTATTCTTTTTTTTTTAATACCTTCTGTTCAACCCATTTGTCGTGTACCCCCAGGTTGTGGATACATCCGACATCGCGGAAAATAATGCGGTGGTGACAGTACAAGGAGTTACGGATGGCTATTTGAGACTATGCCCCATTCCTGGGGATATGCTCGCCAAAGTGGAAAAAGATCCACAGGTAGGTAATGTCACCGAATAACCAATTACACTTTCTATTCGGAATCAAGCTATTATTTAATTCTCTTCAATTTGCTTATCGGACAAAATTTCTGTATTTCGCGGTTTCACTTAACAGTCAATACTGTGGTTCTGTTCGACTGGAAAAGCCGGAAAGAATAGAGATACTGCTGGCGTCATTTTTCCAGTGTTTCCCTCACCCCACCCTCGAGTTATTTCAACACAACTTTTAGGCGAGTAGTTGGACCACTGAATGATATTCCAAATTCGGAACACAGGGTACCTAAATTGATGGATATCAACGCTCCAAAAGACTGTTGAGTTCATATTTCTATTCGCGAGGTACTGGTTTCAGCTTACTTTGTTCAAATTTTTGTTTGGCAGATTGAAGTTTTATGCTCAAATCGTGAAAAGCTCAGTAACCAAACAATAACTTTACCATTTAACCCTGTCTTAGAAGTTTGTTCAGTGAACTCCGGTGAATTTTAAGGAAACTTCTGTCGTGGCAGTCAGTTTACTTGTTACCTGGTGGATGTCATATGCCCCAGTAATTTGGATGGGTGATTCGAATGTGAAAAGATCAGTACTATCGATGTAGCCTCGTAGCTCAGCTGGTAGACTGCGTAGTACAAAAGCGTGGGCGGCATCCATGCGTAGGTTGGATTCCCACCGCGGCTACGGAACTTTTCACAATTTCAACATCGTACTTACTTTGTGTTAGGGCCGGATTCCAACCGCGACGCTAGGCACAGTAATTTAGGGCCCATAACCCAACACGGAAAATCAGAGCACACAAGAGAGTGTGCGTTTCGGAGTGCATCAATCGATTAAACGATGACCAACAATTAGGTAAAGTAGGCGCCTGGACAAAACGGATTAGAGGAGTATTATTCAGTTTTTGTCTTGTACACCTATGTCACGTGATTGGAAAATCAATGGGAACTGATAGAAGAATGCGTACGTAGCGCTTTGTTCCTGTAAAAGTAATCTATTCGATTTCTGAGTTGAAATGTACTGTGGCTGACTCATACCAACGGATCAAATATGTTCGTTTTTTTACCGAAAGACTGAATCTGAAAGACGTTTAAGTTTGTAAGAGAAGGGTACCGTATGGGGTACCCGGTAGAAGTAGCACCTCTTAATCGGAGGGCTGTCGACCTCTTTGGGGTATCCTTCATTTTCTGGTCTCCACCAGGCGCTCAGAACTCATCTGTGACTCCAAGAGGCTTTTTGGATGCAACAGCGGCCACACCGCGGTAAACCGCTCAACAGGCTGGTCAAACCAGGTTGAGGGTAACCGGGAACTCAACTCCCAGCGAGTCGGTGTCTAACGTACGTGTTGTCCTAACGAATTCGGTTTTAAGACTCAACGGCCGAGCTAGGAACTGTCGATGGTGTATAAGCTTCCCCTCAGAGAGCCACCGTCAACCACGCGCTACCTTCCTTTTGCCTTACAGTTAGCACTTGGATGTGCAAAGGCTAGAGATGCCACCTCGGTCCAAAGCCGGGTGACGCTGGGAACGTTTCCTGTTCCTATTCACCTGATATCCATGAAGCCGGCATTTCCTCTCCCAGGAGCCAGCCGCCGTAATGTAAGTACCGTATTGGAACAGCTCCGACAGAGCTCAAGCAACAGATCAAGAAGTTGATTTCTTAGGGAGTTCTTTAACCCCCCCCCGTCGGAACGGTGTGTTCAACTAAAACTGTTTCGCACTGGCTATGAAAAATTGCTTGTTTCGTGATCCCGTCAATTACATCCCATTTGGTAGCCGCGTTCACCTGTTCTTTTTTGTGACTAAAACGCTATGTGGTTTATTTTGTTATTTCATCTGACAGATTCGTGTCTACGTGAACGATATACCGACCGTATGCGGGCGACCGTGTACACACACGGTTGACAACTCCCTGAACCCGAGCATCACCGAAGCCTCTGTGACAGGTACGCGCTGGTGCATTGTATAGTCCAAAATGTTTTGTTTTCGGGGCCTGATTCACCGGTCGAGAAAACTCATCATGCGGGCTCATTTTAATGCTGGTGTGAAGAGAGGACTAAATCAGAAGCTCACTTATTGTGACGAGAATTGCGCTATTTGCAGTCCATTAGTTTTTCTCTCCAGTAGAAGGCCTCTGCATGGTCGTGGGTGGGTGTTTTTGGTTGTACCTGGTCACCCTTGCCTTGAACCTCGTGAAATGCTCCCACGCGATTAGGCGTCCTAAACAGTTTCTGCTGACGCAGTCCAACTTCCTGCCCTCTCGTGGCCGAGCTGTTTTCCCACCAAAGTGAGAGGACAAAAGGCCCATATCCGGGGCTATCATCGAGTCAGTTCACCTATGAGAGTTGGCTAAAATCCCAGATTCCAAACCAACCACAAATAGATGTGTGAACCACGCCCACATCTTTCTGGTCGTGGTAATGGTCACCGGTTTGATTGGGTATCGAGGCGTATTTGATGGGATGGAACTTTGACCTCGTCCAATGGGTGCATAATTCAATTAATTAGATATCGGCTTTCAATGAATCTCGGTTTTCACACACCGTCCTGCCTCCTTGTGGGTCAGATTTTGGTTAGCCGAAGGGTCTGGTTGTGAATTCCCTAAGAAAATTCACCTGCTCCGGTCTTGGTAAAATCGAGCATATCATGGACCTATTTCCTTCTTATAAAGATTATTGTACCGTGATTGGTTTGCACACAGTCTGAACTCAAGCATGTGTGAAAATATGCAATATAATATAACAATATAATATAATATATGTATATTTATTCACAGTGGAAGCAAATCAGCGGTTTTTACCTTGTGGAGTAGAGCTAAAATAGTACAAATAAGTTTTATCATGTTTTCACTAAGCCACAAGGTGAATTAAATGATTGCGAAAATTTAAAAAATAACCAGAGAGTGTACCTGTTTTTCAGTCATAATTCTAAATTCTTCCCTATTATTGAACTCAAACGAACAAAGTGATCTGATAGATTGATATTAGATGACGGATGAAATCAATATACTCCAAGTGAATAAAATTATTTTTTTATTACACACGACTTCAGTTTTGAACTGATGATTGCAAAGTAGTTGCCGAGTAATCTTCAGTTTATTTCGATCTCTCTGCGAACTCACAAATGGTGTTAGTAAATTCTCCGCAAGAGAATTTGAATATTTCAGCATTTGCAATTTGACTACTATAAACATTTGAGTAGTCCGATTATAAATGACAATATCCATTGGTTGCGCTATACCGAATATTTAATGCCAAATGACAGATTACCAAAGTTGAACGATTATTTATTCGGTAAATTCCTACTTCTGTTCTGTTCTTCTGTGTTTACAACTGTAAACTTATGTTTTGGTTTGACTATATCACAATTTTACATGTCATTCTGTACCGCCACGTTTGAAATTTTCTTTACGCGGTCGTCAAGTAACCTAGTCGTAAGTCTGCTTGAATCTTTCCGTTACTGATTGATTACCTTTTACTGTAGAACCACAGCTTACGTAGAAATAAACTGCCTCAGACCTCACTGTGTTTTCTGTGTCCGTTCAAGCCTTGCATGAGAGTAGACTTGACAATTTCCAGTTTACCGCGCTGCCACCGCCGCTGCCCATTTGTTTCTACAGTGTTCAACCTCAGCAAATTCCCCATGCTTAACCCTGACGAACCCCCAACGGAGGAAGTTATTGACAAAGATAGAGACCGGCTATCACAAGAAATCATTGTTGAATCAATAACTTAACAAATCGATGTATGTTTGTATGTTTGCGTTATCAACCATACAGTTGGGTCTATTCTCCTCTTCTGACTTTCTCGATGACTGTCTCCTTGAGGTTCGAGAAAACTCGCTCATAGCAATCGTTTTTAAGAGCTCGTCATTTAAAAATTCCGTTTCAACAATCACTGTTTTCGTTTTCTTTATACCAATCTATCTGTTGATCAGGATCTTCGAGTTACAGCCTGGTTGTAACGGGTGTTGGATTTGATGCCAACTCGCCGGAAGCGAACATTCTGCAATGGCTCGGCCCGGAAAACGAGGTCGTTGAGACAGCAAACGCGCTCACAGCGTCCGAAACACAACTGGGATTTTACTCACAGACTTTGGAACAATTTCAAGCCGGGACACAAAATGCTCGAATACTGGTAAAATCTTCCGGGGTTAGTGAGGTGTACAGTGTGGATTTGGGCACAGCGAGTGCAACCATAAACTCAATTACACCGAACACCGGGGCTCTTGGTGGTAAGTGTTTCGAGCTGATCGAAAAATGCGTGCCATTTTTTCTGCTTATATGTGTTACAAAAAGTATATAAATAATACGACTTCCCACGATTATTGGTCATCAAAATTAGGAAATTAGATGAAGAAATGTTTTGGAAAAGAAAAACTAAAAACTACAGCTACGATCACAATTGCACGGGTGAAAGACATAACTTGAGTACTATGATGCCAGTAGATAGTTGATTGGTCCTGAAAATGGGAATACTCCGTCTACGAGCTTTTATGGAAAAAAATGTTTCCTGATTTCCTTAATGAGACGCATATTTGGTTGTATTTTCTTTCTTTCTATCAGGAGGAATTATCGTGGAGATAAGTGGTTCACGATTTGATCCGTACAATCCGAAAGTGTACATTGATGATGCCTTGTGTCCTGTTTTGTTCGCCTCGAAAACGATCATCCAATGCACGGTGCCCGAATCGGTAAGTTGAGTAGTGTCTATACAAGGGCTTGACCAAGTCAATCAAATCGAAAATCTGTTTCTTTTCTTCCCGGAATGTTCGAGGCGAACGGAACGTTTACAATTGTGATCAGATGAAACTAATTCCAAAATGCTGGCCTAAAGTGTTTTCTCAGTTCCTTTACACTTCATTTTCCTTACAAAAATGTCATGCATTTCACCAAATAGAACTCGTGTTCGAATCTCAGTTGGGTCGATGCATTTGCATTGCACGAATGAGACCCGACTAGATCGAAACAACTGGTATGTGCTGGCTCACATTGTGGTAACACATGCCTTCCATGCGATGGATCCGGAGTTCAATGTCCAGACTGGATGAGATCTAATGAGACCGAAACTCCAGTCTAGTGCTTTCGAGCGCATGATTGACTGAATGAATTTTGCGTGACGGTGAAGTCAATTTAAATCAAAGTGGTGTATGTTTCGGGGAACTGAGAATTTCAGTCGCCTCCGTCGATCGAATGGACAAAAGTTTGTGCCACAGACCCGATACGCCTGTTGAGCACTGTGGTGAGTCAGCCCTCCGAGATGACGTCATGCGAACTCCTACGCGTTCCAGTTTATGGACATTGAGCCATGAACCAAATGTATTGATCACTTAACAGCCAAACAATTCGAACAGAAGACGTGTGGCTAGGAGAACAAAAATGGCGATCGGTTGGTATCCGTTTGACCAATGATATTTCTAGTTACAGATTATTTTATCTTATCGATTTCTCTGAATAACCTAACCACTACTTCTGTGACCTTTTTCCTGCCTCTCGGTGTCGGGAGGTCCCAGCATACAGGTGCTAGTGCAATGCTGTACTTCGATTGCGATTGTGATTCGTGATCCGTACTCGGTACCTCATTCGATCCCTATAATCACTTTCAGTACGATTAGATCTTTGAATTGGGTCTATTGAAATGTGGGAACATATTGGAACATGTGATTTCCTGTGGATAACACATAGCAGGTGATTGACAATATCACGGTCACATATAGTAGGAGAAACAATTTATTGAATGGGTGCGTTTGTTTTTAATCAGCCATTTGCAAAAATCGTACAATTTACCAAAAACAAAAAAAACTTCTTGGATTGTCGCATTCATTACGTTTAGACCTAGTCATTTGCTCACTTCAGATTACATTTTTTTCTCCAGTTGCTGATTCAGTCCCAAAAGTTTGGTGAGCGACTGGGGTGTTCTCCAACCTGTGGAGACACAATCAGCTAAACTTAGCGAGATATTTAGTTCGTCTTGGACTCTAGCTTTATCCGAACTATATAAGTGCTCCACCCAATCGGTCTATGTCTGAGGCATTCCTGTGAGAGTAGGTGAGTCGAGGAGGTCTTCACGGCTAACTGAGTCAATGAAGCCCACCAACCCGTGCTCGGTGATAAGTATATTCTGTCATTTGAGGCACCTGACAGAAGGTGAAGATAATTTATTCAATACAGACGCAACCGGATCAGAGCCTTACCTGTTGTTCAAAAATTACAGTCTCTATTATGACGGTTTTCTACGGCGAAGAATGATAGGGGCAATAGTTTAGGAATGATTGAAATTAAATCTAACTCACAAACGTTTGTGGAGACATTGGATAATGTTTTCTCATGACTGTCACAGTGGATTTATGAGTTCGATTTCGATAAAGATGCCAATTGTGTGAATTCTCTTGTTCTTTCATTTGTGAACACGTTCCATAACTTTCAGACAACCGATGGGGATAAACCTGTTACGGTGGTGCAACTAGGAATCACCATTTCAAACTCAATTATCTTCACCTATGACGCATCTATCACCCCGGAAATCGTCTCCGCGCAGCCCAGTACAAATATTCCACTAGCAGGTAAGTGCTGTTTACTATTTGGTATCCAGGAGTTTTATCCTAAGCATTGCGATTCATACGTTTTCCAGTGATCTGAATAGTGGTTGGATGAAAAATTCATCCATCTTTTTGTCAAACATGATAACTCATAGAATGATTGCTTTGTCATGTTATAGGAATCAATAACAATGGTCTTCTAACTGAGAAAAGCGACCCATATAAGATTCTAATAAGTCAGGTGGGATAGTACATTCGACCATGGCAAACTTAGCTATTGCTACAAATGGTGAGTGACCGCTTTAGGATTAGAACCTCGAATCATGTAGTCAGAATTTGGCTTGGTTTGAAATTTCTTTTCTGACATAATCTAAGGTCAAAACGGTTGGTACACCGGCTCTCAAGTCTGCACTATGCAAGCGCAGACAAAAAGTGAGGGCGCGTGTGACCATCCTCTGGATCCAGGTTAACAAATACTCCGCGGTGACACGGTCAACATATTCAGCTCCCTCGCGCTTTCTTCTGTCTTTTAATCCGATTAGTGTCCAACCAGTCGATCCACTGGTAAACCGGAATTACTCTTTCTTTTCCATTTATACTTCCTTTTATTAAAGTCTGGTGGTGGCAATGAGATTCAAAAATACGTCCTCCAGGGTGATAAGTTGCTGACGTCACCACCAATGGCCACCATTGACCAACTGTGTTTCTCATGCCCAATCTGTATATGTACATATATACATATATATATATATATATACATGTTTACCACCGACTTGTAGACAAGCATGGTGCAACGCTACAACAAGAATAACAATAAAAATAACGGGGATAGGTGAATTGGGATACAGAACAGAGTGATAAGGAGGTGAAACAGTTAAACACTGAAAAACGGAAGATAACTGGATAACAACATTTTTGTGTTTCACCGTAAATTTTCTATTTTTGTTGTGTTATTTTTTATGGATAAATATGGCCTTAACTGCTTTTTTAAGGAAGTTATCATAGCTACTTATAAAACGTGAATATACAAACTTTATTTGTGGCTGATTTATTTCCAGCAGAATCATCACTCCGCATACGGGACGGTAATCCATTGTTTAACTGCTCTCAGTGCATGATAACCACGAATGTCTGCGATTCTATAAACTGAATTTTCGAACCCATATCACCAGTTATTCAAAGCTATCCCATTATCTCAAGGGAAAAATCGTGAAACCCCATGCTATTTTCTACTTGTTTCTTGCATTTTACAATAAAAACACAATGAAATTTGTGTCACATTGAGGCAAGTTGTTAGAATAATGGTTTTTTGGAGCACTGTTGCACGACACGGAGAACTAGTCGTACTGTCGTTTTTTGTTTCGAGGTTTGTGGAAACGTGATTTGACGCTAAAGGAATATCGGTGGTCAAGCTAAAGTCTTTGGAGTACATTTGTGATACTCAGCCGCTAAGCACATGGATACAATTAGAGTGGTTATACTAATTGTGATTGTTTTCAACGACCTGCCACAATGCGAGAATGGATTGTAACCTAACGATCTTGAACGGTTCACTGGGGTCTACACCCGACTGCTTAGCAGTATGTTAAATGGAACGAAGTTTTGAGTACAAGGTCACGGCTCATGGGACTCGTTCAACAAGCAAAATGATTAGATTGATGACTCCATCACGTGATTCGACAGTCAGTTTATTTCAACCATATAAACCGTACTGAGTGATGCGGTGAGTGGTGCAAGCTGAGTTCAGGTTGTGTGGAAATATCGCACCGAAAATCTTGTTTTTCGTTTCGCTGTTTAAATTTATTTATAAATTCATTGACCTTGTCATGAACACCGAGCACCGATTTAACGAGGCTGTTTGTCCCAATGAAACCCCAGTTTCCAATAGTGTCCAATACATGTCACGTCAAGAGCATCATGCCCTTATCCAATCATTCTGTTCTACGTTTTCACAGCAATTTCACTAATCAGTAAACTACAATATCTATATTTTTTGAGCTTTTAGTTAAAAGAACTTAGAGACCGGTATTCTACGGAAATATGTGACGTGTTCGAATAGTGGACCGGAGTTCAGCGTCTGACTACGTAATGAACATTTTTTAAAGGATTAAGTTAAAGATCTAACTGGAAGTGCAACCAATACTTTTCGACCTAATTAGCTTCAAAAACTATGTATGGAATGCAGCACAACCAGGCTGTATGACCCTACAGTTCTCTCAGCAACGCACATGATCAGAATCGATCA